CTCTTTGCATCGTGAAATATGCAATGAAAATAATAATAAAACACGGCCCTCCATATAAAACCTCTTTTGCATGCGGACGTGCTTTGAAAAAGTAAATTAAAATTCATGCTTCCTCCGAGTCTTGCGATTTCATCTGCAGCACTTTTCTTTGGATAAAAATTTCATTCAATTTTATGGTAAGGCCTGCTTATTGACATCTTCAACTCCTGTTTGCGGAAAATCGGCCCGAAATTTTTGGACCCAGATTTTTTAATAGATTCCTACCTATCAGTAGAGTTGATTGCACAAAGAAAAATGGGGGGTAGCGCCGATTATTCTTGAAATATGATTTTTTGAATTTTTACATTGCGTCTTATGGAAATTTTTGTTTTTGGTGATTAAAAAATAACTGCCCGAAATTTTTTGCTCAAAATTTCACAAAATGATAAGCGAATGACCCTAAACAGATTAGCAGAAAAAAATTTGAGGGTTCATGGGGCAAAAAATTAACATTGGGCATATGTGCGATCAAAAAAAACCTCCTTGGTACTCTTAGCATTGCAATAAGGAGTCCTTAATTAGTTTTATTTTCATAAAATGTGAATGAATAGGAGTAAATATAAAATTCAAATATTTGAGATCATCGCATTTTGACTTTTTTGATTGAGGATATTTACCCTGGCGTAAATTTTTGCTACGAAAATATCAATAATTTACAAAACAAGCAAAGTAATGACAACGATTCATAATTTACCCTCACAAATTATTAAAGAAACTTTAAAAATTGTGGTCAAAATTTTGGCAGAGCAAAATTTTATCTTGGCGGCTGTTGAGCAACGCTTGGCTACACATGCAGCGTCAACTTTTATGGCCGTGCTGCGACATTCTGAGGTAAAGTTCTGGTTGACACAGCGTTTGGCGCTGTCACTCACTCTCTCTCTCTCTCTTGCCATCCCGTTGAGAGAGAGACGAGCACAGATTCAGATTATCATACAACTTTTTTATTATTACTTCCAGCACTCTTCTCTTCTTGCAAGGAGCGAAATTCCTCCACTCACTTTTTTTTACGTCGCACTTTTACTCCGCCCGTCGACTCGTGTATATTTTTATATAACTGACGTTTGTATTTATTTGGCGGCGCTCAGGCAGCTGTCTGTCTCTTTCTCCACAGCGGGATGCTGTGGTGCTCTCGTTTGATTGACTCCGATGGATTTGTGCGCGCCTGTGTTTCGAGTGGGCTTTTGAGTGTGAGCAGGCAGCGCAGTTTTCGCACAAAAGCCGCCGATGCATTAGCGTGTGCAGAAAAAAAATGGAACGACGGGGGAAACAAAAAGGACGGTCGAGGATTTGCTTCTCCGCACACTCGAAAGGCGCGAAGTTTTTCCTCCGTGAAAGTACGCCGGGATTTTCGAGAGGTTTGGCGGGAACCGTGACATTTGTTGAGCTGCGTAATGGGGAACATAAAAAAAGCAGCTAGGGGATGGGATATTCCATTCAACCCCTGAACTGGTTTGGAAACTCGACAACTTTCAGCTGTAAATTCCGTGGAGAAATAGAAATTTAGAAAATTCAGATATTAAATCTATTTTAGTTGTTCGTAAGCAACAAAAGTGATAATTTGGAAATCTTTATTTATTAATTTACTATAAAAGTTCTTAATTCATTTATTGTTATTTTTTAAAAGACGAATATTTTGATTACAAACCAAAAGTATTCCATAAAGAATAATTTTCGTCACGTTTTGGGCAATTAATTGAATTAGTCGAGAGATGTGGTAGCTCAACCAGAAGCAAAGCATATATATTTACGCTGACAATGTGAGCTCAGCTATGAATTCAAAAGACAGTACGATTCCAGAATATGAATGATGAACGCGCTTTCCGTGGGCGAACAAAGAAAGAATCTGCCGAGTCTGCACACGGAGATTCGGCGCCGGTGTATGTGCGGAATTAGCAAAGTCAGATGTCAGGCACACCCACCCAGTTTTAAATGAGCCGAGCTCTGCAATATGAGCGGCGATGCTGGGATGTCGCAAAGCCAAAATTAATAATTCCAGTCTCGGCTGGCCCTGGTTGTCACCATTTGTGGCGGCGGCGGCGGGATTTCAGAATGTGCAGCTTAACACGCGGATGTATTTAATACGGACACAATTGGACTCATTATCTGGATCACGTCCCACCTCGCTCTATACAGTGCCATTTAATTTCTCTGATTGCTGATTTTGCTTATTCTCGTCGCTTCATTGAAATTGAAATCTACATAAACATAAAAAAAGGAATTGTATGAAATTATATCTGAATTTTAAATTATTTTATCACATTTTTTTTTATTAATTTGTTTAAATTTATGCAACCCGTTGGACAAAGGGAGATTTGTAAAGGGAAATTTTCATTAATCTGCCTCAATTGACCTGAATTCTGCCGAAAGTTGATCTCCATATGGCCTCCAAAAATTAATTGCTTTATAAGTGGGTGTATCCATCATCCGGGTGACGCGACCGAGACGTTGATTATAATAAAAGCCCGGCAATTTCATGCAACGGCGCGCGGTTTATTTTTATACCCAGCGTCAATTTTTCCATGAAATGTCCCCGGCCGATAATAAATGATTCGATCTTGCCCGCACGCAGAGGGATATCAAATTATATACAGCCCAGAGATGAATTCAATCAATGGGTGGCGTAAAGAGAAAAAACGGCACCCATCACTTCGATCAGCGGCACCGGCCGCCGATATAAAATGAACTGCACACATTTTTCGCAGCCTCTCTTTCTCTCCCAGAGCTGTAAATTCTCTTGAATAAAACGCACGTATGGGTTCGGCGACGCAGACTCCTCTCTCGTGTCATCAAAACACGTCTTGAATGCCTCCCAAATAACTGTGCGAGGCCAGGCGGCGCGCGGTATGAAAAATGATTTCCCTCTTTCTCTCTCTCCATGTGTGTGACATTTAGAAGGACTCTTTCTTCGTCGTCGTGCGCCGCGCAATGAAACGCCTTATTTCTCATTCTGCAGGGAGCCTCACTCTCATCATGATATGGGCGCGCTTCTTCTAAAACTACGGCCACCATAGCAACTGGCAGATGAAAAGGGACTGAAAAGGGTCCCTGTGCGTATTTTTAAGAAAGTGGAATTAAAGAGAACATATTAGGCATCCTAGCATGACTGCAGAACAAAATTGCAGATATTATTATGTATTATTAAAAATTTCATGTTTTTGTAAAATTTTAAATTGGAATAAATAAAATTCAAAAATCAATTATTTTTGTCAAAAAAAATATTCCAAAATGAGATTTTAGATAATATTAAAATGAAAATGAAAGAAAAACAATTAATATTTGATTAAAATGAATTTAAGAGAATTATATAAGAAAAACATGCATCTTTTTTATCCTAACTGATAGAAATTGCTTCAAATATTTTCAAACACCAACATATTTTCCTCTTTGGATCTCATTTTATGATTTTTCATGAATCCATGAAATTAAATTTTCTAATTCAAAATTATTTTTAAATAAAAGAAACATATTTCATTAATATTTCCGCCACATTGACACCTATTCAATGAAATAAGCAAATCTGAAATTACTTCTGTAATCGAAAGATTCAAATTACGGAGAGTTCCTGAACGATATGTCAAAAGTTCACGCTCTCCAATTTCGCATTAACAAAAGTTTTCTGACGAGCGCCACCATATTTTTTTTTACAGAGTTGTCGGCAGAGCAATTTCAATCTCGGATTAACTAATGAAACCCGCTCGCTTTCCAGAATTGAGCACTGTAATGCCACACGCGCCTTTTATTTATTTCGCAGTAATTATGCCGCGCGTCCCTCATTAAAAGTTGAAAACTTTTCATCCCGCTGCGCCCGGTTTGCTTTTAGCGGCAGAGCGTGCCAACTTTCCGGGCTCTCACTCACTCCTTTCTGATATACATTAATGCACGTCTGATCACGTGGGGATAATCCGCGGCACATTTATCTCATCGTTAGCAGCTCATCTATTTTCACCAGCGTGCAGTGAGAGCAGCAAATGGCGAGTGAACAAGTTGGCTCCGCCGAACAGGTAAACTCCATTACCGGCCACAATCCCTGGCGGCCTCGCCAGACAGTGCTAAATTTTAAAAGTGAATAAAACGGTATGTTCGCCCAAAAATCTGCACGCACTGCTGGTTTCGCAAAAGAGGAAATTTTTGTTTGGGTTTTTCTACCGTAAATTAGAAGTTTCAGCCGGACTCTCGAGTTAGAGAGAGAAACTCGTGGGCCAACTTTAATGTGGTTTGGAAGGAAAGTTTTGGTTGACTTTGCCAAAAGTTTCGAGGGTACTTTTTATTTAAAACTGCGGTTCTTCGGCGCAGCACAAACAAACTCACGAAGTTGAAGATTTGCAGAAATTTCTGCGTTCCTATTCGGACTAATTAGTTTTGGTGAAATATTAAATTATTAAAATTAACAATTAAATTATTTTTTTAATTTCATTATTAATCGATCCATTTCCATAAAATTATTTTGTGAAATTATAAGTAATTATTGTATTTTAAAATATTATATTAAAGTCAAAAGATGAAAAAAGAAAATAAAAAATATTAATTAAGCACCTAATTGACAAGATTCCGCATTCCAGTTTGCGTCTGGTATCCGTATTAAAACGAACTTATCAAAATAAGCTGCCTGTTGAGATTAAGACATTAAGAACCGGCCGGTAACCGTCGCGGTATCTCATTAATTTCGTTTTCCTCGCGCGCGGACAACACCTGCCGCCCGTCTAATTTTGTGATAATTACACGAGGCTAACACGTAGCCGCGCCGATAAGCTGCCGTCAAGGCACACAAACAGCATAGAATAAAATAAAAACAAAACGGGAAGCTGCGTGTATCACTGATGTCTTCTAAATTACCTGTCGCACCTGCCGCCGAATAAAATAATTAGCCTAAAGACAGACGGCGTGCAAAGATTCCCTTTCTTTTTTGCTAATTTGCAAACACGCAAAAAATTCGGAGAGCTGCGAGGCAAAAATTCTCTTACGTTATTATATTCGCGTGCTATAGAAGAAGTGCTCCTTGTAAAACGGCAGAAATGGTAGAATCGTTTTTTACCTGCGAACAAATGAAGCAATCACATGAGATTATTTTATATAGGAAATGCTGTCAGCTGGAATGAAATTGGGAGAAATTATAGGGTACGGGCGGATGATTATATAATATATAGGAGCGGAGCAGCAAAACAGATGGCTCGTCCCAAACACCTTAATAATGTCTTGGCCGCGTGTAAAACTTTTTACTCTCCTCTATGTATGAGCGCGGCGAATGACTTAATTATATTTCCACAAACCAGATGCGTACAAGAGAGAAGCGGACGCAGGAAAAAAATGAAAACAAATTGGCCAGATCAATGGAAGTATTTTATGATGTGGTGCCATAAAAGTTATAATTTGCATAAATTTATAGTAATAAGAGATACACATGATGGTGATGTAAGAAGAAAAAATAACAAGTTTATTGATTTATTAAAAAGGTTCATTCACCTCCGTAAATTAAAATTACACTGCAAATTATAAAATTTAAATTTCACCAGAAATCAACCATTATCATAAAATTAAAATGTGGATCATCAATGTAACTTGCTTTACACTTTTGATTTAATACTTGTAGAATTTTCATTTTTATAAAGAGGTTGTTGTGTTTGATTAGTAATAATTAATAAAAAAACAGATTTTATCCTCCATGGAAAACTAATCAGAAAAATGTTTTTGTCATAAGCAACACAAAGCTATTTTCATTTCACTGAAATTGATTTTCTTCCTTGCCCTATTTCAAAGGCCCTGTCTTTCCCGGAAACAATAAAGCTTCCGCGAGAGCTTGGAAAAAAACTGGCCCCGAAAATAAAAACAGCAGCCGCCGCTCTTCTTTATCGAATTAATATGTCAGCTGAAATTCCGCCAGCATTTTTCCAGCTCTGGGAACAAACTTGTCGACGAAAGACGGCGGGAAAGTTTTGTGTCAGTGCGCGGCGAAAAAAAGGAAAGGGTTGGCGGAAATTATATTTGTTGCCAATCTGAGAAAACATGCAGAAGGCAAATAATAAGAAAGAAGCCCCGCACTGACTGCGGGAAATTTCAATTACGAACCGCAATAATGATTGCCAATAAAACTTTGCTCGCGACGTCAAAAGCGGCTTCTGATTGACTGACGTCTCATCTGAATAAGTCCCTTGATAAATAATGCTCAACACCAACGCGAGTGACGTGTGAGAGCGACGCGGAAAAGCGGCGAAAATCGACGGCGAAGACATCTTTGGAATCGAGATCTGAAGGCGAGATTCAATTGGCGCGTAATTTATGCCAGGCACATGTTTGGCTTGCAAAGTCACGACAAGAATTATTTGAGGCGGAGAGAGGAGAGCAATAAACAATATGCCAAAGTTAAATAAACGAATATAAAAATAGTTTATGACATGGATAATTTTAAGCAACAAATTTTTTTTTTAAATATAAATCAAATTGTTCTATGTAATTTTAGCTTGTTTTACTAAATTTTATTTAATTAATTATCCGTTTAGAGTGACTTATAATTTAATCGTTATCAATAAAAAACAGCTATTTTAATAATTAATATTTTTATTATTAATTATTTATCAAATTAAAAATAATTTCTATGAAATGATTTTCTTATTAACGTATATTTTTTAATTTTTTTTTTAATTTTCTATTCTAGGTAAAACTACATCCAATTAAATTGTGAAATAAGTACTTTTTTTTAAAAAAAAAAATCGGAAAATTTAGTATTACATAAGTACACAATATGCTTCAATATTATATCTAATGAATCACAGAATAAACGTTTTGTCTAGATCAATGAAGCTTTTGTCTGCATGTTCACATTACTGTATTTTGAGTTAAAATAATACACTATAATCTTATATTTATTATTAAATCGTTCATATTTATAGAATATTAAATCAATGCATGTCAAATGACGTAAAAGTTTATTAGAAAATTTATTAAATCTTGTTAAAATTGCTTATTGAATTAAATAAATATATAAAAATTGTAAGTTACGTGTGAGGAAAGCAATTAGAAAAGTGTCTGCGGTTTGAATGAGGAAATGCTGATTTTTGTGATACCCTTCTTGAGCCAGACACGCTCAAAATATTTGCAAAACCCCGAAAATGACATACGTGGGTTTGCAACTTTTTGCATATATTTATTCAGCACAACGAGTGTGCGTGAGTGACGACGAAATTTTGGCAATTTTCGGGCCGCACACGCGAAACTTGAGGAATATTTTCGAGTCAGCCAGCCGGCTTACCTTATATATCTCTGCAGCTATTATTATGCAAATTGCCGCAGCATCTCCCTCGTCGCCGAGTATTATGGTGAAAATACATGCATATTTATTTAGCCTGTGTATGGAGAGGGTGTGCATGCACGGCTTGTTTGCATAGCCGAGCAGCATTTTGGCTAATGTCTCTTGCACCACTTTATTGTCTGCTTCGGAGTTTAATTTATATTCTAATTAGATATCATGCAGCGTGCATGCATTACCTATTTAGGGCCACTATCTATTCGCCGGAGTCACGCCAGTTTGAAAATCAAACAGCCGGGAATGGCAATTACCTAATAGAAAATGTACACACAGCGCTTTAGTCATGAGTAATGCTGACGACAAGATAATTGCAAGTGATAAGGCTTATCTCGATATACATAAGACCTTATTTATGCAAACCGATTCTAATGGACACACGTTTCTTCCAATTTTGACTTTTATATAGATGGATTAACAATGTTCAAAAGAATTTTAAGTGGATTCAGAAACTGAGCGAGAAAACCAATGCTCGGAAAACGAATAGAAATGTCCAAAATTTCAACTTTTAATTGGAAATTTTAATTATTTTTAAAGCAGATTAAAATTACTGTTTTAAAAATAATTAATACTTCCACTTGAAAAACAAAAATTAAGACAAGCGGCAGCACCCTGAACATGACTAGGATCATGATTTCGCTATTTGGCAATGTTGTTGCTATATTTATTTATTTAAATTTATTCTCCATTCGATACAGTCATGAGTCATGAATACACAAAAAAAGAACTATGCATAAGAAATATAGAAAAAGCTGAAAATATTTTTTGGAATTGAATCAAATTTTTAGTCAAAAATGTCTTCTTTAAGATAATAAATGTATAAGTTTATAATTAATTTTATAAAGAAATCGACTTAATTTATAATTTTAAAATTATGTCAAACATGGCATTGGAACTTTCATATTAAAAATTAAACCCATCAGAAAATATAATTATAGGACTTGTTTTAATTAAAATATATGGCTGTATTAATTGCAAGCAACTCTATATCAAATTATCTCTCCACAGAGCTGAGATAATCCCATATGATCCAATTACAAAACAAGAAGTTGATTAAATATGAATTGATTTTGCTCATTACGCAGGTGGAGTTGTAGCGAATGGTTTGCTGATTAGCTCGATACATTTTGTTTAGATGTGCAATATATACCGTGGGCGCAGTGCCACAATCTGGTCAGCATCATGTAAAGGACGCACACAGTATGTTGATTCACATTATTTGCGCTCGCGTTGTTTCCGACCGCGTGTTGTTGCGGCGTGTCATGCGATTCGCGCTTGATTGATGCCAAATTTTGATTGCGACGCCGAGCTAATTAATAATTATACGAAGCACCGAACGATTTGTACTTGCAATTACTCATTATATTTCCATACTACACGCGGTCGTGCGCCGGCAGCCTCCGCGGTAATTACACACTTCGCTTGTTATAATACGATCTGATTGGTTATGTTTTACTTTGTTAAAGGATAGTCTGCTGATTCAATTTGCTTTACACTCGGAGTTCAATTAAATATCCTATAATATGAAGGGAAAAATATATTTATAAATAAATCTATTAATCCGCTTTTGCTTTGTATATAAATTAATTGAATTTATTACAAATTAATCGATGCCTGGAGGTTATGATAATATTTCCTGATGTATTTTATTTATACAAGCGTTTGAAGATTAAATTTGTTCTATAATTTATAAAAACACTGAACGTAGACGATTCAAAAGTATTAATAAATTAAGAGTTTTATAAGAATTAAAATTTAGATTCCAAAAGATTTGCATATGACTTTTCATACCCCTTGTTGAAAGTGTCGTCATCAGCTGTGTTAACAACAAAATTTAAATTAGAAAGGGAGGCGAGAGAATGTTGCGTGTAAAGTTCATTATTTGCAGTGCGGTCGGACGCGAAGTCATGACTACTATATTGCCTTTTTTGTGCAGTGGCAGAAACCAACAGCTAAATTAATCCTACAGCCGGGAAATCTGCCGCATTCAGGGACACCCGGCCCTGTCCCCCAGTCCAACGCAAAAAGCCCCAGGGGCGAAAGATAGGGGTGCGTGTGCGTCACGTCAGCCACGGCTTGGATAAATATAAGTCGGCGGCGCTGCTTTGTCATTAAAATTAGAGGTGAGAGGCGGCATTGCGCGTTCGATCGCATCTTTTTTTCTAACCCTGCGGTTTGGAAGCCGCGTAAGTGGATTTGCTCACTTTTTGATATACCTATAGGCGGGGGGTATAATAAAAATGTCAGTTTGCACGCGAGATGATCAACAATCGTAAAAAATAAAACATCTGCCTCTCGCTTTCGTCTACCGCGTGTGTGATTCGCGGCATCAATTACATCTTTATTATCGCATCGTCGGCGGTATTCATAATATCTATCCACTGTATCGTGTCTCATTTACACAGTATTTGATTAAGAATTCTAAGTAAATAAGAATTGAAATTTTTATACAAATACAATGAAATTTTTATCTACCAAGAATATCAGATATTTTATATTTTAATTTTACAATTCTTCAAGTTAATCTAAAATTATTCCTGTTTTTGGTACAAACACATAAAAATAATAACTACTATTATTTTAAATTGAAATAGTTTAGTTGCAAAGTGTCTTTATTGATTGTATCAGAAGGCAATTGCTGCCCAGGTACATCATACATACATTCAAATAAAATTATCAATTTACATAATAGAGAGGAAAATCATCTTAAAAAGAAAAAATTCACATTGATCAAA